CTTACTCTTCTTCTGAAGGACCAGTAACCCTCTGTTCTCATTTGGCAGCCCTGGCCTGCAGAGAAGTTGCATGAGTGTTGCCTTCATTTATCTGTATTAAATGTGGTGATGACATCTGGCTGGACTGCTCAGAGGGAGGTAGCACATAGGTTTTGGTAATGGCTCTGATAGGCTCTCAGATCTTGTCAGTCTACTGGTTGAGAGAACGAGTAGGAAGCTTCCATTGATAGAGCCCCTAGTAGACATAAATAAGACAAAGGCAAAAGGATGCCAGACAACCCATAAACTCTGTTTCTAGAGTCATGTTGTTTTGCTGTGAAGTCCTGTTTTCATATTTAAAATAGTTTGGTCTCTTCTTATTTCAGAGATGTTACCTTAAACTCCAAACCTTTGTTGTCCAGAGTCTTTACTACTGTCTTTCCTTGTAATCATTTGCTGTGCTCTTAATGATAAAAAGTCCCTAATTTGCATTGTCTTTATTCAAAGGTACTGTTTCAAATTGTAACTTCAATTTGTAACTTGTTATTCCAGTATTTTCCTTTAACAGTTGGAGGGATTTTTAGCACTTTTTGGAATCTGCATCATATTGCCCTGTTTTTTCACATCTGCTGAAAAATCTGCCCAGTAAACAATGGTGACTTTAAGAATTTTGCTGTTCATCGGTGTAATCAGTTCTGCCCTTTTAGCCTTTTATGGCTAAGTAATTCTTACTGTACAGGTATATCAAGGTTGGGAGGCATCACCTAGTGTATGTCAAAGAAAACTGAGAGTCTGTAGTAATTATATTTAATATTTTGTGTAAGTACTTAACTGTGTCATATTATTCTGATCTTGCTTTGAATAAAAATTTAGAAAGCTTAATGGGAAATATAATTTATTGGAAGTAATATGTTTGTGTTGTCCTTGTGATGGCCTTAACAGCTGCCTCGGTACTGCTGTGATTGCTGATCTCTGAATGGTATGTGTGTAATTTCACATCTTGGTACCTGCTTTTAGGCAGATCTAACACGTATGAAAAAAGCAGCAGCAGTATCTTGTTCTTCATCCTGCTTACCTGTTCCTGCCGTGTAACTTGTGCTGGATCTGTTGGCTGCATCATGACTTGGTTCATCTGGGAAACAAGTTTCTTCAATATCTTTTCCCATCCCTACCAAAAACAACCTTGAAAAGAGCAAACCCTGAACACTAACAGATCAGCCAGTTCTGACTTGTGTCTACGAAACTGCTAGGTCAGGGGCAAAAAAAAAAATATATAAAACAATGGTAGACTTGGGTGGCCTAAAAACTGGGAGGTAGGGGCAGAGAAAAGTACCACAGGTTTTGGTAATGGCTTACTTCTGGATTAGCTGTAACATGAAGCCCTGTGTTTAGTTTGACCATACAGATGAGGATGACACAGCATTGCTTTCTAATCATATGTAGTCTTGTGTCAAATATCCTTCTATAACTTGTGCATTAACTGCCACACTTCTTGCTGAAATAATTGAAATTAATTATTTCAATTATTAATTGAAATAACTAGAGAGTATTAATGTGGCATTGAGGTGTAAATTTTTGCTGCTATTGCTGCAAAGAGGAGGTCCAACTGTGCCTTACAAGAGGCCACAGAGGCTGTTGGAACTTTCAGTGAAGTGGTTCAGCTCACTGAGTGAGTAGGGAACTAATTAACTCTTTTTAATTTATGTTTTTATATCTTCTGTCTTAAGAATTAGAGCATTGTACACTGATGGTTCAGATTAGTCTAAAGTTTTATGCAAGCCCACTGCCAATGTTTATGGAGGTTCTTCCATCAGCCAGCCAGCAACAGAACTGAAAAAAGAGAGTGTGTGTATGTATTTATGCCCAGGTTTAGGTGCATTAGTTTTGTGGGCTGGTTCCCCTTTTTTTTCTCGGATACACTTCTGGCACAAAGCTTTTCATCTAGAATGTGGTTAGCCCTGGGCTGCCAGCCTATTGATCTGATGTTCTCATGAGCCTCTAAAGCATTTTGGTTGAAAACTTCTTTACTTACGTCCATCATAATCTGGTGCTCTTACGTAGTTGCTGTGTTTTTGTTTCATCTTGAATATGAATGTTAGGTAGTCTGCATTGCTCAGTTAACTTTATTTTACTTAAGTATGCTTTGGCATTTATGCAGCTTTTTGGGTCAAATTACTTATTCTAAGTGTCTGTGTGCTCTGTGTGGACATAGTGGTATAAAAGCAGAGGAGTCACATTCTTTACACTTAAGGGACATTATGGCGTGTTGCAAAATGTGTTAGTAAGCATTTTTAAATGGTTGAATGTTGAACGTTCAGAAATTGTTATTTGGAAAAAGTTGGTTAGACTCAGAAATGCTGAACTTTAAAAGGGAAGTTGCCCAATTAATAGGTTTAAGGACTGTAGTAGTTCTAAAACACTGCAGTTCTTGTATTCAGTAGCTAGTGTTTTCAAACAAATTCTTAAGGCTTTTTCTTTATACTATTATAATCTGTGCTGTTGCATAACAGTTGAGATAAAAATGATCATTTGGAGGTACTGAGCTTTCTCCCTTTCTGCTTCCTTCAATAGTTCCTTGAAACAACAAGTTCTAAGAGCAGAACAAAAACATAAAAGAGGAAGGGAGAATGGAAATTATTTATGTGAATATAAGGTGATTTTACCAGTAATTAAGAGTAAGGGTAAAATTTGTAAAGACAAAAAGTAGAAAATAATAAGGGGTTTCCAGAAAAATTATGTGTTGTTGGGACTGGAATGGTGATAACCATTTTGGGAAATACACCTTTAATGGGGGCACTGGCACTGTGCCAGGGTCAATCCATGACAGTGAGCTTGACAGAAATCTGAGTTGAAGATGCTGAGCTATTGTAGGGTTGATATGTGTGTACAACGCCATCAGTCGTAAGAGTTTTGAAGAAGGATTGGCCTAGAAGGTGTGTTCTGTGAAGGGAGTAATGGAATTTAATAGCATGTGAATGCAAAAGGGGTAGGAAAAGCGGGTTATCGCTTGATAGGCTGCAGAACAGGGGTGCAGAAGATGCTGGAAGTTGTGGTAAGTGGTAAAAAAGGGATTAAACTGATAAATGGATTGATATCTGAGCTAAGAAGTAAATCTGATTTGTAACTTTCATTTTGAATTTAATTTGATGTAATGGGTAAACAGGAACAGATGTAAGCATTAGAGCAATTGTATTTTTGGGCAGTTGGGAAGAAGGGGTTCTTGTGCCTCATGTTTTTGTTGGAATTTTGTTTCTGGTATAGAGAAGGGAATAATTATAAACCCCCTGGGTTGTATTGATGTGAACTACTCCAGTGAAGAGGGTTTAAGATACACAGGTGTAGGGTGACATTTTTGTGGTGGGGAAATTGCTGATCTCAGTATTCGTTGGCTGCAAGGTTGTTTTGTTAGTTCTGCTTTAGATATAATGCAATTTATCTGAGATAAAGAATTCTGTGAACTACTGCTAATTTACTTTTGGTTCTGATTTCTTGATTTGTTTTTGCTTCCAATTTTCTGGTTTGGGACCTTGCACAGTTCATCAATAACCAATGTCAGTAAAATTCTGGTCCATTTGGAGCTTTGATTATGGGTTACATTTTTATGTTACTTGCCTTGGTGACTATTTATAAGAAGTGAGTAGATGGTCTGTTGGGATTATCATAGGACCACATAAGTCATTATTTAGCATTTACAGAGACACACACATTAATCTTTGTGTGTCTCTGTAAGTGGTCTCCTGGGAGTCCACCCCAGTTAGCAGGGAGATTTACCCCAGTTAGCAGTTAGGATTTTCCCCCCATAAGGCAATGGTTTGGTAAATATGGTTATGAAGTACTTATCTACTTGGTAGACAGGAAAGGGAAAGATGAATCTTGTCAGTCTTACTAAGAATAAAAAACTTAACAGTTAAAAGGATAGCGGCTGTAAGGGGCAGAATTTTCATTCTTCTGCCACTGTGTTATGAAGCAGGGAAAGGTAAAGTGGCTGTAGGCAGGTGGGAGGAGGAAGAGTATGAGTTTGTGTACACTTAGTGTTCCAAAGTAGTGGTTACCCATTCCTTTATGAAGTGAAATGTGTGCTGTTCTTCTGTTCTTGTGAAAGTTTCTTGAATTTACTAGCTAGGAGCTGGTTTTGCAGCCAATTCAAGAAATGTGCTTCTACTGTAATGTACTTCGGTAGAAAATTACAGATCCAGATTGCCCACAAGTTTGCAGCTCTGGGAAATCATGTGCTTAATATGACATGCCTAGGCTTGTGACAGCTGAGCTATAAAGAATCATTTCTATGGTGGAAGGGCATGTGCCCAGGAAATGTGCCAAAGAGGCTGTGAATATGGACACTGTTAGAGATGACTCACATTAGGGAAAACATGTAGCTCGTGGCTTTAGCATGTTGGCATGCAAACACAAAAGTCTGCTAAATGCTCTGCAGAAGGAATCTTTTTTCAGCACTGTGACAGAACATTCATTGTTGTGGGGTTTTTTTGCAAGCAAGTGGCTCTGCAAGCTCTCCTACTACTAGCTTATGGCAAAAAGGATGCATTTAAAGATTGATTGTATACTGTGGTGGTGATTGCAAGAGGTAATTGTTGAAGAGTGCCTGCTGACTTAGATAGTAGAGTTGACTAGAATGTCTAGGAATTGAAATGTGACATTTTTTCTTGAGACCTGAAGAAGGCAAGAGTTTCAGAGGATTGGAAAATGATTCCAAAGGCAAACAGCTTCTTTTATACATGTATACATGCATAAAATACTGTATACTGAGGTGGTTCTGCTTAGTCTGAAGTGTCATGTTACCTGTGTTTTTCATGGACTTTACAGAGTCCAAACTGGAATGAGCAGTTCTTCTCTTTACTTAGTTTCTGTTCTGCATTGGCTACCCAGATGCAAAAAAAAAGGCATCTGAAAGCAGATGCCTTTATTTTTTCCTTTGTGGTTGAACATATTAGATGGCTGACAGACCTTGATGAAAGGACATAAATGCGCCACATGCAAAACCACAATGATTTCTTTGATTGCAGGGACCTTTTGGCCAGCTTGCAGTAAGGACTTGTGTTTAGAAGAGAACCTTTGGGCTCATCTGTATCTCCCTCCCCTCAAAGGGATGGCAGCCCCAGGACAGCTAGCATTCATCCTGACGCCAAGAGACTTCAAAGGAGGTAAGCGCCTCAGAAACGCTCCCCAGACAAAACTTGTCAGTCCTGCACCCCAGCCTGGTAATATTCTTTACTACAGCACTACCATCATTCATGGCTCCTTTGTGACAATTTTTTTGAGAACTCTATGGGGTCTCATCAGCTGGTTGCAGCCCCCTTAAGATTCACAGTTGTCCATTGCTGTTGATTTGCTTAAGGATGTGCCCCCAGTGGAAGGGAAAAATACATGTTACACTTCTGGGGTATAACTCAGACATATGCTCCTCTCTTTCTCTTAGTTTTTTTATTTTTGTATTTTGGATGAGGTCCAAACTTGTACTTTTCTCAATTCTTCTTCCTTAAGGTTAAAGTTGGAGGAAGAAAAAAAAGACACCGAAACCAAATCCTGCTTACTTCACATAGTTTTAAACCAATTGTTTAAAATAGATTTCTGAATTAGCCCTTTATATCCAGATGATCTCCACTTAATTCTTTGTGTGCTTGAATTTCTAGTGAGCATTATCGCTGAAAAGTTCTGTGGAAGAAAATTACTGCATTTTATTCTCCTTGAGGGAAATATATCCTTAGGAATTATTTTTTCCATGTTAGATATGCTACCTACATGAAGCACCGCCTTCCAAATGCCTGTGGAAAAGTAATTTAGCAGAGAAAGCAGTTTTAAATAAACAGAAGTTTACTTTGTTGTCATAAATTTAAACACAAAATTCCCATGGTAGCTTTCTTATATCTATTGTTTTGTAAAAGCAGACTTTTCAGGAGTGACATCGACCCCTTCTCCAGCTAATTCAGGTGAATTATATGAATACTTAGCTCTAGATCTTTCTTTTCACATTCTTATTCCAGTATATAATATATATTATGTATATTTCATATATATTTATATATATAATTATATATTCCAGTATATTCTTATTATATGAAAACTAAGAATATTACTGGAATCATAAGGAAGAACCTTCTAGGGGTTTTTGCTGTGTTGGGTTTTCTTCTTTTTTTTTTTTTTTTCCTTTAGTAGGAATATTTCAGCATGTAATAGACTTTTAATAAAGATGACCGTATGTTTGCTAAACAGCTACTATTTTTTTTTTTCTAAGGATGTGGATTTGGAAAGTATAGTTGCACCCAGACTATTGAAGCTTTAGTATATTCAAGTATATTGAGGTATTGAGGAAGTGGATGGTATTGGAAAATAATGTCCTGCCTAATTTTACACTTACATATGTGGAAATGAAGGCAACTTTTCTTTCCCTCATTTGATCTGCCTTTTACTGTCAGTAAAAGTAGAGGTGGTTGCATTGTTTTTTCTGTTTGTGGGGGATTTTTGTGTGTGTGTGTGTGTTTTCGTTTCTTTTTGGGTGGGGGACATAAATAAATTTGGTCATATGCCTGCTTCTCTAGAAATTCAGCAAGGAAGAGTAGAAACAGGACTGAGAATTTCTAGGCTGCTTTCTAGTGTAAAAGTTTCTGTTGATGGACATCACCTCTGGGAAAATGAGAGACCTAGCTATAGACGGGAAGTGTTACATTGTTTGGAGGCTCTGGAATTAATGAAATACTTTAAAAATTCCTTTTAAAGGTAAATCTAGTTAGTCCTATTGTCAGTTTTTCCTGGAAGAAGCTGATCTTCAAAGCAACATTCTTTCTCTTTCAAATTCAGATTAGAGCTCAATCATTCATTTAGGAAGCAAAATCGATTTTAGCTGTTAACAGTTTTAAACTTTTTTCTTTAGTATTGTACCAGATGATCTACTTCAGAATGGCAAGGCTTTTAGTCACACTTTTGTGATTAATAGTTTATTTTAATCTGTATTTCATACCATCTGCTTTTGCTCCTCTTACACCTCGAAATCCCAAGGTAGTATATTAATTTGCAAGGTTAAAGATAACTAATTCATAGCATCTGTTGGTGTTTCAGTACTTTTTCACCTTTCTAAGAAAACAGGACAGTACTTGAAGACTCTGCTCTAAAGCATGGATTTTTAGTTGTGTTAGGATGGGGAGGGAGAGGACAGTTTATCCAGAGTATGTCCTTGGTAGCATACCTGTGTATGTGTAATTTATAGTCGTAAAATAGTTTCTCTTGTCCTTTGAAACCAATGGTTGTCTTTCCATGCCATCTGACTTTCAAGTGCTTTGAAATAAGTGTCTTTATACTAGAGTTCAGTTTTACTTAATGAAATCTCTAATAACACAAGCAAATAGCTTTCAAATAATGCACCCATCTATACAATTTCATGTAGTAGTAGGAATTAGATGGAAAAATGTTAGCAGAAGATTAGGTTGTCCAAGAAAAGCTCAAGTGAAGGATTAGGTACACTGTGGAACTCTGTGCTTCATAGGATGTGTTGGTGTACTGGTGGTGATATTCTTATTCCTTATTAATGAGGCTGGAAATTTTCTGTTTTTTCAGATATGGAGAAAAAAATACGGTGCTTACTATGATTGCCTTCAAGAACAAACTATACTGTCTTAGAAAGATGATGTGAATTAGAATAGAAAGAGATTATTTTTCTGACTTTGTTTTCTGTGAAGACAATTCCAAAAATTTTTGAAAACATTGTAGCCTTTCCAGAAACTGTTTAACAGCTGTAGGACTGGAGTTTTGGAATAATAGGATTGATTTGTCCATTTGCAGTGGGAGGCACTTTATTTACTTTATTACTTACACTGAGAGATTGGGGTACCTATAATGTTCAAATTTTGAAGAAACTTAATGTGAATATCTGACTTTTGGTATCAGTGATTCTATCCTTTGTCAAATCCTTGCTGTCTGTTGAAAGAATTATTCTATGGCATTGAGCAATCAGACTGGCATCTGGATAGGCTGCTTGAAGTTCAGGGGTGCATTTCTTACCTTCTGTCTCTTTGCAAGGATTGTGTACTGAAAAGAATGGAATGAAAGAGCAGATAGTGATATGCTACTCATTCTGTGCTGTCAACATATGGCAGCACTGGGTGTTGTTCTGATTTGATTTAAATTGAGTCAAAAATACATAATGTGTGTGTGTGTGTATATATATATGTATGTATGTATATAACATTTAAAACTAGTCAAAAAACGACAAGAATTGAGGCCATGAGGTAGATCTGAATTGTATTCATTAACAAAATTGTTCATTTGCTGAATAACAGTAATAGCCGTCTTGTACTTACTCCTAAAGAACTAAATTTTGGCAGTTGGTATCTGTTCTAATAATAATCTGTGGGTCTACAAATTGAACAGTCAAGTTTGCAAATCCTGATGAATTTCACGGATGTAATGGCAATACATCAACTCATAGGTGTCCTCTCTCTAAAGCCCTAAATAATTATTTTCCTGTATGTGTATTATTTGTTATGATAGGATGAGCTCCAGGGCAAGGACATTTACAGTGTTTTGGAGGTCTTGATACTTCTTGATACATGTTTTCAGTTGGTGACCTTTATTGTTGATGAAAGTTTTGGGAACAGGAACCACAAATACATAAATTCCATTTCCTGTCGTTGCCCGAATGCATCATTTATGGCATCATACAGAATGTAACATTTTTGTATCTGATCTGTATCTTTGTGTGTGATCTCCCAATGTCCACACGTGTTAATAAATAACAAGAACTCAAATACCAGCGTTCTTCATAATGTATAATGAGCTAGTGGCTACAGTTGTGGCACAGTATTGAAAGGAGAGGGGGAATAAAAAAGATGGTGCCTGAAGCTATGCTTGATGACTGTGAGGAAAGGAAGGCACTTTGAAGAATAGAGATACATAAACTATTGTATCCCTTAAGGTATAGTTCTCTGGTTAATCATTCTTCCTCTTGTTATGAAGGGTGTCAGGGCGATACATGTTTTCAGATTCATTTTAGGCAGGTAGTTTTGTGCTTCTATCTCTGGTGGGTTACATGGTTTGTTTTGGGGCAGGCCCTTCTTTTATTGTGGTGTGGGATGGATGAATGCATCTTTGGCATTACATGATTCTGCCACCTGGTGGCTTTGACGAACAGCAAGGGCTTTAAATACAGTTAGAAGCACATGGGTGAATAGATCCTGAAAAAAATCCTTTTTGCTTTTAAAAATGGAGGGAATCAGTCAGAAAGGTGGCTTAAAGTAGATATGGAAGACGAGATATGTGATGTCTCATCTCGTTTTTCAAGTTGAACATTTAAAAGCCAGTATGCAAGTATTTAAAAAACTTCTGATTATTACACTTGTCGGGCTTCTCTGGGTTTTTAAATATGAGATTAACAGAAGACAAATCTCCATGTAATGGTAACTACTTGTAGCAGGAATGCAATTTAGAGCAGTTATTGTGTTGTGTGCGTTGTGTATTTCAAGGTTCTTTTAATCTGTTTTTTTATGCTTGGGGAATTACAAATATCAATACTAAATTTAAATCAGTACTAAATATAAGAGTCTTTTCCTGGCCCTTATTACTTTGGCATAACTGAAAAATTTATTAAACAAATTACCACATCTCAAGTTGTGCAGTGAATATCAGTTTTGGTACTACCCTGTTCTTTTCAGTTGAAGTTGTGTCCTTTTATTTTTCTGTATTCAAGGTTTTTCTCCTAATACAGCGATAGTAAAATTTCTGTATATAGGTCAATTTAGCAGATCTGTTATGTTATTTCAATCAGATATAGTATTTATAGCTTCCAGTTGTTCATAGGTGTTTTAATGCTTGCAAATAGAGATTCTGAGTGGAGTTTGGACATGGCTTGTGTCCATAACTAAACAGGCTTTTTACACATGTTTATAAATATACCTTGTTCTGCTGCTAATTGTGTACCATAAATTTAAGGTGGGAAATGCCTTTTCTCACAATGAATTCAAGTTGGGAAATTCTCTTTCTTACAATAGGTGTGGGGAGATTTTATTTCACTTAAAAACAAATATATGCTTACTGTTGTTACTATTGTTTTGAAATTGCACAGATCATTCAGTGCACTTACCTCAGGGTACTTCCAGTCCTTCTTTTTTGTGACTGTGTTAGGTTTTCCTTTGCAGTCTCTCCTTCCCACAAG